GTTCAGGAGTAAGACTTTAGAGTAAAAGGAAAAAAAGCAAAACGGACCAGAAGACTATTCAAATAATTTTTGACTTAAAATTCTCTTGGACTCTAAACGTGGTGCTGCTGAACGAAACATCACTCTGCCTTAAAGTATTTTAGAAACAAAAACAAAACCTCAAATCACCTCTTAGATATCTAACTTGCTGCTGCTTTTGAGACTGGATATTATTGTTAGTAAAATTGTTTGTGAGCTTTATCAGGGATTTAATGTTACTTGAAGAATGCCTCTTGGAAAAACGAAAGGTTCACTGCCTTCAGTTATTTCATTTTTTGGGCTCAGTGACTTGTGGCAGTAGTTCAGGCTCAGGACAGAGGAACTGGTGTTAGTGGGGGCAAAAATAGGGAACTGGTTAACTTTACTGTGAAATTACGAGTTTGACTGCAGTGCCAGACAATGCTGACTTAGTTTTGTTAAATACCATCTTGGCATTCTTTTGGAAAATGTAGCTGGTAAATGGAAGATCTTGTTGCTTCTTTGCAATGAGACACACACCTACTGCTACGTATCCAAAGGTTTCTTTTTCAACTGAAACTAGAGATGATGGTTCAAAAAACTGTCTAGGCTCTTTTTATGTTAATGTAGATACTTACAAGAAATGGATTTCTGCAGATGTGAAACTTTAGTTTTGATATATGCAACCACTAAATTTCTTTGAAGGCAGTACTCTTGGTTTGTTTTTTCTCTGAAGGTTCTCAGGACAGCAATACAAGTAATGTGCAATATGCTTTTACTGACTTGGGGCAATTTGTTCAAGTCGTGTCACAGTGCTGTTTTAAATTATATTTTTAGAGAATTGTTTTTAAGGGTGTCCTAGGGTGGAGGGGAAAGATAGCCTGCATGCTAGTGTAACTGTCTTCTGAGAACGCAACTTTTGGTATAAAGTTAATTTCTTCCATTCAGCAGTCTAGAGGAATCTTCTTGGGTTTTTTGGTTTGTTTTTTTTTTAAATGCAAACTGTAAATGAAAAGGCAGTACTCTTCTGAAATTGTCTAGATGTTTAGAGAACTTAGTTCATCTTTTATTCTGTTGGCTTTGTATTTATGTTAAACTTCATTTTCAGAAGACTTCAGTGTATTTTTGTCATTCAACAGACTTGAAGAACAACATATATGTGGCAGTACTGTTGTGTGGTTTTTACTTGGCTTTTTATGACCTTTATAATTTGCATCAGGTGCAGTGTGACACTTTGGACTACCATTGTGCTTAATTGTGAAAATACTTGCTAAGTTCCCAGTGAAAGTTTCCAATAAACAAGCACACAGCTGAAGGTAGCCTCTTTTTTCTTTTTTTCATGGTTTCTCCTTAGCTTTTAAGAGCTAACAAGGAATATATGTCTATACCTTAAAAATACTTGATCTGAGAACTCAATGTTTTATAGAACAGAGGAGTGGTAAGACAAATGTGATGGAAAGGCCTTGCCAAATAATAAATTGTGAAGGATTAGGCAGACCAGGAACTTGGTCATTGCACAAGAAATAAGGTCCTATTCCAATGAAGTGTTGATGTATATAAGGAAATACAAAGTGGGATGAAGAGATGGCTGAAGAAACAGGCAGAAAATGTGCAGAGACAAAGTAGGGATATAAAATAAGACTAGGTTGTTCCAGTTCATCTGGCCAGTGTGGCTGAATTTCACCAAAATTCTGTTAAGTTGGTAGATCTGTTTGTTGCAAGTACCAAAAGAATGTCTCAAGATAGAACAGGTTTCAGATTTGACTTGTTTTTTTCTAATTACAGTTCCTCATTATGCTTTGCCTTGGAAACACAGTAACTGAGCAATAACCAGCCACAAGACATACGCAGCCTGGTTTGGGTAAACTGATGGAGCTGGGATGAACCCTTGTTGCAGCTGGAAAGCATAGTAATCTCTATTGAGGAAAAATACGAAAAGTAATTAAAAGCCTTTTTTAAATGCAAGATACCTGAAAAGACTGGGATTATCAGTCATGTACATAGGGCCTACCAAAAAGTAACTTTTGTGTACACAAGACATGTGCCCTGGCTACTTACTGATTAGCTTGTGAGGTCAAGCAGCTAGGTGGATCCAGGAGGCAAGACAGCTGGGAAAAAGGAGTCTGACAAGGGAAAAGCTTTCTGGACTGGGTATTGGCCAGAAGTGATTTGGAACAGTGAATCCAAAAACTGTGTTATAATTAATTCCTACTGCGTTCAAGAAAACAGGTTTTCATGTGCACTCTATGTAAATAACAGGATTGCATTGAAAAAATAAGACACTCCAAGTTCTCCCACAGCAGTGAGTCTATAAAACCTTGTGTGTCCCCAAAGAATTTGGGTCAAGAGGAAATACTGATGAGACTGAGAAAATCATGATAGCAGTATGAAAGCATATCTTTCCATGAATGATAAACTGACTCTCTTGTTTTCAAGCTCCTAAATTTCTGCCCTTCAACCAGCAATAGGGCAAAAGACTTTCATCAGGTCTTGCATTCTGGTGTAGGCTTTGGGCAGAGTATTGTCCTAGTCTCCAGACAGAAGCTGAACAGAGCTGCTATTGTAAGTAGGTGGAAGACAACACTTGAATATGCCAAGGATGTATCATATCCTGAAATATTTAGACTGGAGCAGCACCATTAAGTGCTTTGTTGCATCTTCTGATTTTTGCATTCTGATTTTCTGAGTATTCTTTGTCAGATCTTTAGGAATGGGGTAAGCATGAATGTTGAATATAACATTACTCTGAAAAAAAATTCTTATTTGTAATACAAAGAAAGTGAGAGGGAAAGACAATCAGCACTTTCTTTATTTCTATTGTTTGGTTTTCAGTGCAGTGGAAGAGACTGGCTTTACTGCCTTAAGCAATCCTTTTGCTGGTCCTTTTGTAGACTACACCAGAAGTAGTAGAAATCTGGAATAAAGAACAAACCAAAAATTTGGTTGAACAGTGTAATTAGAGCTTCAGTGTCACAAATGAAAAGACCTGATGACTGGCTCACAGAACCTGTCCTTTACTGACGCAACTTTTACCCTTTGGTAGAAGACTTATCTAGAAAATAAGCTGAATGTCCTTGTCAAGTCTGAAATATGCAGTGTAAAAATATTCTTACACAAGCACAACTTCTAAACAAGGGTTTAGGGATAACTTAAAGGTATCTTGACATGGCTTTATCAACTCCAAGTTACCAAGGTTTTAGACAAGTGAGATAATTGTTCTTCAAAAGCAATAAATGATTGACACTATTACTTTCAGGGAGGGTGAGTATCCTTTCTTGATTCACAGGGTTACTTACTTCTGGGTAGTCTCTGTTGAAGATGTACTCAGACATATGTAACTGGCACAGATACAAGTCAATTCAGGAAAATTTTTGAGACTCAGAAATCATGGTGTTTAACAATCCTATTTGTTTTAGAAGTTTTACTATAAGTGGTGTAGTTTCAGTAGTCTTCCTAAAGCTATGTTGCTATTTTGCTGACAAAATAGGATATTGAAATCCAACCTGTTTTGTGTTGGTTTTATAGGAAATAGAGTTCTACAGAAATCCTGTGAGGACTTGCAGCTAGATAGTTTTCTAAGAATAAAACAAAGTTAATAACATGGAAATGTGTAAGTAGTAGAAAATAATTTATATATAAAACTTTTTACTTATTCTTGGGGCATAGGCACAGTGAATACAGTCAAAGACATGGCAAATTTGGAATATTTCAGTCTGAACATTCCAGTCTTACAGCTATAAAACTGTGTCTGTGCCCAAGATGCAAGATCTACACTTCAAATTTATCAAAAACATGAAATAATGTTTGTTCATTGATTTATTTTTTAATTAAACCTGCACAAAATTGTAGATTATCTAGAGTGATTTTAAGCCTACTGCTCTAGAGGTTTGGTTTTGTTGTTTAAGCCGGATATTTGAGAACTCACCTCTACTAGCTTTCCTTCACAAATCTCTACAGTATGATGATAGTTGGGAAAATCAGCTACTATTTTTCCATCTTCCATTTGAACAGTTGCCTGTAATAGAGTAAGGTTTAATGTTCCCTGGGGTTACTGGCACTTATATTGTCAGATATGCTGTAAACATCTGTACAACTGATGCTTAAACTTTTTTAAAAAGTAAAAAGTTGTATATTGCACATGCAGCTTCATGAACAAGACTAAAATCCTTGTACTTTAGTTCTTAAATGTTCACAATTTAAACAGAAAAATGTTCATCCAACAATACGTGCAAGTTCCATTTCTACACAATAAATCAGAAAAATATTCTTTCATAGCTCTAAAAATGATCTGACTGCAGACTGCTTCTAATTCAGTCCTCACTATTTTATGTGGTTCTCTTGTTTTGACAGTGAAGTGTAAAAGGCATGAGTGTGTGAGTTAATCTTGAAGTAGCATTCTCAAATACTAATAACCTGCCTGCAAGCAGCACAAAAAGTCACTGTGGACAAGTGATGTGAATCTTTACATCCCGAGTTTCATACCTCTAACTACACTAGAATTAATCTTACTTATTTAAGTATAGGTGAACATGAATGCAGAGTCTGCAGTCACACCTTTATACTATAATATGTTCCAACTGCTATAAGAGCTGTTTCTGTATGGAAGAAGTATGCCAGGATGCTACTATGAAGATCACAAACTACAGCAGCTCAGCTGACTGCCAAAACCAGATATGTAGTTCCAACACAAAATCAGTCTTGTCTGTATAACTAGTCAGTCTTTCCCGTGCTTTTGGTAATAAAGACAGATAAGCCAGACATATTTGGAGGAGAAAAAAGTAATTTGCAAAATGAAGAGATGAGTGGACATTTTTTTACCAGATCTTTTTTTTACCAAATCCAAGGAAACAATCTTACTAGTTCATGTATTGTTTAGGGACACTATACTAAAAGGCAGTGGTTTCTCTGCTGAGAGTTATTGACTCTGCCTCCATTTTTAGTTAATTAATATTAGCTTTTTTGATTACTTAATATTAGCTTTGGACTGCTGATGCCCAGGGCTGAAAAGAATGAAAACTAATATTTCAAAATCATTAAGTTTGCAATAAATTGACCAAGTAGAATTGTGTCTTATTCTAGCTGTTAACTTTCACAAAGCTTTCTCAAAAGCCAAAGATGTGGGTTTTTTCCTCTCATAATCAGTAAAGGTGTGACTAAAAAAGCATTCTGGAAATCATGCAATGCTATTGCTACTCTCAGTTTGTCACAGCTCCCTCATGCAGGTGCTGGTTTTCCTGTCTGTTCAATATGTATAAGGCATTTATCCAGTAATCTATTGTAGGCTTCTGGACACCTCACAAATCCAGAGTTTAGCTGTCCCAAACTGTCTTATCTTTTTAAATAGATGAGAAATTAATAAGGTAAGTAAAGCAACCATTTTACAGCAGGTTTTGTATCAAGATTTTGTCCATGACAAGAGCAGATCAATATTGTGTAATCTTCCTTCTCGCTAGAGGCTGCTTAAGTTGCAAGTTGCTCTGTGCTTCCAACAAGGAGGAGGATAGAGAGATATTTTTTTTTTTTTTTCCCTTCACTTTTGTCCAAGGCTCAGGCACAGGTGAATTCCAAAGGTGAGCACTGCTGACAGGCATGGGCAGAGCTAGGGACCATAGCACTCCCCTCAGAGTGTGCTGCAGTTGCTGTATGGTGCTGGACAATTACACAGCTGCCAACCAGCTCTTTAGAGATTAATGAGCATTATATTTGCTTGAGCTGTGATGCCAGTAGATGCTTGACACTCTACCCTTGTTCTTTGTTAGTACATAGAGTTCTGAAACTCTAGCTATCTTTAAAATCAGATTCAGATATTTTGCTAGGGGCATCAAGAAATGTGGGGGAAATTATGTTTCTAAGCTATGACAGATGAAAAAAACAAGATACCCTTGAGACAGATTTAATCTTCACCCTAAACTAAAAGACAACTGAGAGCATAGAACTTAAGAGCTAAATTAATTTACCTTGAACTTTTTACCACCCATTGTCTCCATGTCTGCTTCCTTGCCAATTGTGAACTTGTTGGTTGTGGTGTGGCCGCCTGGGAAATGCTGTGTCCAGGTGAAGTCATTTCCATTCTGTACCACCTCAGTGACTATTTTGCAATTCCTTCCCAATTCAATCTTGTCACTGGGGAGACCTTAATCAATAGAAGCATACAGATTATCAAATCTAATAGCCTACCAACTGTATTTGAATTGAAGCATGCTAATGGTATACTTATTCTCAGACATTGCTGTCTAAGCAGCTGATTTGGTGGTGGTTTGTTTTTTGTTTTTTTTTTTTACAGCAAAGCTCTGAGTTTAAATGGCTGACATAAAGGAAGATATAGATATATCAGTGCATTTGCATTCTTTTCCCTGAAAAACAATACACAGAATAAATGTATAGATACAAAGTATACATAAATATTCCCTTCTACTTAATCTACCCATGCAGATGCGTGGAATTTAATGTGTATGAACTTGATGCCTCTGCTATATAGCCGCACATACCTATCTACTATTGCTTTTTAAATAAATGAACACAAGCACTGAACTTATGCTCGCAGATCATGGTGTCCCTAAGAGCTTTTTACAGAATAATCTAAAACAGGTTTGCACAGTCTTCTGAAAACTTTCACCAAAATCTGTTCCTGTGTAAGATTTTGACAAGCATTTTCATATTAAATTTACGTTCCCACTGATGAATACCATGGACAGAAAAAGTGATCTTTGTGATCATTATACTGCACACCTCTTGGCCCTTCATTCTGCTGCCACTGAAAAGGAATACTACTGTAGAACAGGACTGTTTCCTGTGGCTGACAGTACTTATAAGAATGAAAACTGAATCTCCTTGCTGGAGTGCAGAGCACTCCTACCAGTCTTAGCCCGTTTCGGTAAAAAACCCTTTTTTAAAAAAAAAAAACCTATTTTAATTAATTTATAACCTTTAAAACTTACATCCCAAGACATACTTACCAATCTTCTTTACAAAGTCATCATAGTGCTCATCGCTTTCGAATTCATATTTGCCTGAGAATGCCATGTTGCCCTGGTGACGTGGCTGGTAGAGCAGAATAGCAGCTGGAACAAAGAATGGGTAAGTGCAGATGGCTTGAGGCCCTTGTTTTTATAAACCAGCCCAAGCTGTTCAGCCCACCTATACCCACATGCCTTGGAAATAATACTTTTATGATCTGTGTGAGTCACTAGCACGGATGCCATTGACCTGTACAAAAATCAAGGTTACAATTCAATTATATATCCTTGACAATAATCTGGAGATAAGCAGAAATCAAGAACATAAGCTTGATTTTGGTTTTAGTGCATATTTAAACAAAATAATATATTTGTACTTTGAAGATTCCACTGATTTTGCAGTCAGGTGGAGTAACGGTAAAATATGTTATAATGAAACAGGGAGAAAGCAGCTTCAAAGCAGTGTCCTGAGATCACAGCCTTGCTCTATTTGGAAGCATACCCTATATTAGTTAAAATATGAAAACAGAAACAAGCTGCACAGATTCCTAAGTAATTCTGGTGGGATATGGGCAATGACAAGATTCTGTATCAGTTACTGCACCTGCATGCCTTACCTTTTCTGCACACAGAAAAAAAAAAAGTTATAAAATATTATACACTACTTGGATGTAAAGTACGTTAGGCACCATGCTCCCATACCTTGCTTCTTAATATCAAGAGACAAATAGTGCTTTGTATTGCTTAGCAAATGTTTGCACAAAGTACAAAAACTATACTTATTTTGGAAAAGCAGAGTTCTGATTTATGTAAGATAACCATATGTTAAAAGTCAGGGAGTCTGCTGGGTAATTTAGAATGCATACAGGAGATGTCCTATGCCTAATGAATCCATTGCCGCACACAGATAGCAGGGTAGGAAATTCCCAGCTGCTGTGTATTGGCATAGCTCCACTGGTTGAGGATACAGACCAACAATTTTTAATCTGAACAAAAAGATGCCTAGGATTTATCTGAAAATGGTGTCACAGATTGGAACTTCATTTTATTTACTTAAAGTAGTAAATTTGGGCAGGAACTGAAAATCTACTTTTCCCTGGTTTTATAAAAGCCTGGAGAAATATATAACAGTGTTCAACGAGTTTTCCTGTGTGCAAAGTGGGTTCCATTTCTTAAATGCAATTGATTTAATCCCACATGCTAATGTAAGAATATGTCCATTTACAGTCAAGAAACTGATCAGAAGAAGAACAGGAACATAGGCTGTGTGATTAAAAACATCGAAAACAAAGGTCCACTAAACTTCACCACTACTCTCCTTGGTATATTTTAAAATTAATTTATTCTACGTAACCATTTCTGTATTTCTAATTAATAGACTTAAACGTACTCCACTCTCTCAGAGAGTGAGACAAACTCCAGTAATGGGATGAAACTTCAGTGAAACGTTAAATATCGTAAGTCATGGTACAACATTACTGTAAAATATACAATTAGAAATGTTGCTACATCTAACAGTTCTATTACCAATAACACTCTTTGAGTCCACACAGTCAGCTGTACACTCCCTCAGCCTGTCCTGTAAATCCTGCATGTTGGAAAGCGTAGTGTGGTTTGCAGGCTGTTCTACTGCATTGAGACAGAATGGTGCCTCTCAGTGAATCCTGCCTTCTACAGGTCCTCTCTCCTATGGTCACATAACTGGCTGTATCTTGACATAGCCTCACAGATTTGGGACTGGATGTAGTTTATGTTATACCAGCATTAAATTCAAGAGGAGCTAGAAATAAAAGACAGCCTGTACCCAATTGTTTTGCCATAGTATATCAGTGTGCACAGTAACTCTTTAGTATCTGTTGGGGGGGGAGGAGGGAGGGTGTTAAGGTTTTATTAAACTTAAATATATTTGCTATAGATATGTATATATTTAATGGCATATTACTTGTCAGGGTATGTTGCAACTCAAAGAAAACAATTGTCTCTCATTTGTATTAATTTTTTACTTTGGTTACTAAGCTGCTTTCTTTTATGCAAAGCCTCTGCTGTCTATCTGTAAGTTATACAGCCTTTAAACCAATTACAGAATACACAGGGCATATGAGGTTTGAATAGGAAAACATCTCCTGTCTTAGGAAAAGTTTTGAGTTTCAAAAGTTTTCCTTACAGGGAAAAAATGAGAGGGATTCCAGAACAACGTACTGACTGATGGGCAAAAAGTCTGAATCGGGTGAGAAGGGGAATTCTAATGGAAGAGAATTTTCTGATCAGAAAAAGCATCAGAAAATTCCAAATTAGTTTTGTGAGATGTTGTACCTGTGGACTGGACAAGACCTTCCTCATGTTTATCAGTTGGGAAGTTACATTATTTCTGTTGGGTTTTTTAGCTACTTCCTCTTCTGAAGTCTGAGAGAAAGTAACATCAAAATCTTACATCTTCTTATGAAAGAAAACATAAAACTTTCAAATGGAGATGTGGTTTTTGAAGTTGACAACAATCCTCTTAAAACTATTTGTTTGGGTGTATGTTCCTGGCAGGAAAGCAGTTTTCTAGAACAGATGCAGAAAGCGAACAACAGTGAAGCATAACAAAATCATGGTCAATTTGTAAAATAAAAATGGAACAAATGTCCTAGGAATTACTGCCTTCCCACCCCTAAGCCTTCGCTCTCCCCATATTTACTCAGCTTTAAATTGTACCATGCTGTGCAGCGGCTGACTATATTGTGCTGGAGCTCATGACGCCACAAATGCCATACCATCTGCTGTCTGCACGCAATTAAAAGGATGTCTCCATACTTTAAATAGAAGAGAGCTGTATACCTTCCCTCTGTGAACATTCCTGTGATTAGCATTCAAAACACAGGGGTGTGGGAGAAAAGCACTAAACTGGGGGTGTCTGTATCAATTACAAATACATAAGATTCAGGGAAGGAACAAAAAGAAACGTGTTTTGTTGACAGCATTTCCTCTGCACTTTTGATTTAAAAGTGTCTGTAAAATTATTATGACTGTGCCACAACCATATTTGACACAGTTTTTTTAATTAAAACTCCTTCAGCTTAATCCCAAGATTGCTGAACTCAATGACCAATTGTGCAGGAGCAGACAACTGAAAAGGAAACTTTATCAGCTGGACCCAGATGCTTAGGGCCTAGCTATGTAAAGAAAAACAGCATTAGTGTGGAAAACAATGAAGTGGTTACACATACATAGAAGCCTCAGCTCTATTTCTATGGTAAACCTACATAGATAGCAGTTAAGCTACAACAGTGTAAACTCTAAGCAAAGCCCCTAGTCATTTCAGTCATACACAGAGTTGAAAATACCATTTAGAGGGAAGTATCATCAAGCCTATTTCATACATGAGAAAGCTGAAACGCTAAGAAAAAGTGACCTATCAGAGCTTCTGATATAGTGAATGGATGATGCCACCAGTAAGAAATCCTAAGTCTGGGCACTAACCCAGTGTCCACAGAATGGCACGTTAATTTGAACATTCTTATAATAAACAAGCCCTTAGAAGCAAATGAGAGCTCTGAGCGACCAATTACTTTCAAACAGTCACCCAGGGAGTTTTACACTTGCTCCACTGACAGGCTGTAAGAATCTTTACAGCTGCTTAGCACAACCAGCTGAGCAACTCCCTAGCTAAGATTCTTGGCATCTCCATGTGGCTCTGTGTATACGGAAGGACAACCAGTGTCCAGCCCCAACAGTGCTTTTGGAGAGTGAGTGACCAGTGAGACTGTCCTCCGGTTAGCTGAGTGCTGAAGGCCCGTGCCTTGCACTAGGCTCTCAGTGTTCCAGAAGACATGTACAACCCTGTGAAGAAGGTAGATGAACTCAAGCCATAAACTCTTCTGTTTACATAAAACTTACTGGGGGACAATACCACTGGTGTAGTAACACCACATGGACCTTGGAAGATAGATCAAACTGGATAAGAAAATTGCCACAGTTCTGTGATACAGGAAAAAGACAATCAGATTAGATGAACAGTACTTGAGTTTTTATGTTCTCTCTCTCTCTCTCAAGATCAAATTATACTGATAGCTTTCTTGTGATGTGATAGAAAAATGCTGACATCTACACAGCTATACAATACTTTGAGCTTGCCTGCAGTGGGAATGTGGTGGGCATAGAGCCAGTGTGTAGTACAGTAAATTACCAATGAATAACTATTTGACTGGGTGGGTCACTCTTACCACACACTGAGTATCAGTTTATTCACCTCCAGGAGTCGTATGCTACGCTGTACACAAGAGTTCCAGGACAGGTTACAAACACCCATCCAAACAATAAAGGTAAGGCTACACAGTGTTAATAAATGTGCTTGCTCTGCCTGGTTGCTCAGGATCAAAATCAGCTTAGAAAGAAGTTTTGAGCAAACATGCCACCATCTGTACCTGTCTGTGCAGAGGGGTTTTTAACGTACATTGTGAATTTGCACCCATGTTTCTGCTCACTTATTCTGAAACAAATCCTTATTTTCATTCCTGCCTCTTTTTGTTATAAAATGTAATGAAATCCAATAGTGTGCTGGAGAATTAAGAATTTTATTAAGTAGTCTTCTAAATATTGAGTCAGGACAATGTTTATTCCAAGAATAAAGGAACGAAGGCCCTCTGACTTTACTGAAGTTATGGTCACTTGCACAATTGCTAGCGTTAGTCATCCAGGTCCCTATCTCTCCAGTTTCAGCTAAAACCAGTATCCGTTTAATGACCTTACACTTTGCATTTACAATATTTGTGATTTTCCTGCCTCTTTCCTGCCTCCTGCGAGGATGTGATGTTGCTTTTGCATACCTCTACAGCAGTGCCTCATCTTTAGTGGGCTGGGTATTGAAATAAATGGTGCAGAGAACTCCAGAATTATTCACTAATAAAATAAATAAATTAAAATTATTTATGTCTATGTATACATGTATTTTAAATACATTATGTGTATTTAATCCATTCCAACCACTACAATGTAGAGCCTGCACGTTGCTGCAAAAAGCCTTGGTTACATTATACTTCTGCTTAACAGAAGTCAGTTCAAATCCAACTGAAATAACAGCTATAACTGAGACCAGTAGAAAAATAAAAGATATTCCCCTGGCA